ACCTTTGAACATTATGCGAACTCCAAGACTACGAATTCAAAGAAGGTAAGTCTATCTCCAGTTTAGAAATAGAGAATAATGTATTAAGATCAGCAACATCAAAGAAAATAGTTTCTGCAAAAGAGTTCTACATGTTTTATTATCTTGTTAAGATTATGGCTTTTAGAGACAGTAATAAGTATAGTTCATTCCTACAGAAATTATAAGTAAAAGATTAGATAAGTATTAGTTGTTGAATTGCCATTGTTTTAGAATGAAAGTTTATTAACCGTTTTATTTTACTTATAGAATATTTCTGATTAACAAGGTTTTGTTTGCTGAGGACAGTTTGACATTATGCATGTTCATAGCTGTTTTTGCATGAAATTGCTTTTTGTCATGTTTTAGATATATGATATCTTAGTATGTAAGGGTATTAACGTAACAGATATGTAGTGTACTTTTTTCCCACCCTGCAGGTCAGATTTTCCGATTCATCAGTGAACTTTAGCATAGGCTCTTTTATTCGCTGCTGGGATGTAACTGTAGGATCTTTAGTGAAGGATTTGGCCAACAAAACGCTCCCTGTTAACATGAAAGAAGACATTCAACAAGAGAAGCGTTTGAGACTGGGTAAGTGTCTGTTTCTGGAAATATTATGATTGATTTGAATTCATGAAATTTTGATTTTGAAAAATGTTGAAAAGTGAAATATGTGATATCTTTGTTTCTTTAAGAGTTAAAGAGAAATATCCTGAGAGATACTAAGAGACAAATGTCAGTTATATATTGTGACCTGAAATGTGCATGACAGACACCTTGAGCCTCTAAGTGGAGATGAAACTTTTGCCAAAAGCAGTGTACAAGTGGTACTCATTTTACTTTATGAATGTGTCACTTTAAAGACTTATTTGAAGAGATTTTTAAGGACTTACTGAATAGATTGAACCTTTTATTTGAGGGGATGTAAAGAATTGTAATTGATGACTTGAACAATTAATGGCTTTTTATGTTCATGTACTTGGGTATCAGTACTTTCATTCTGAGCCTGTGAAATTTATTGTACATTAGGAAAACTGTATATGCCCAACATATGCTGGAAATGCTGTTATGCAATTATTGCTTTGTATACAGTGGTGTCATCTTAACCTAACTTGTTTTATTATTACTTTTTCTTTAGTTATCATTAGTTAGCACATAGTCTTCTGTCTGGCATACTTGGCTTAATTCATGATAAAGTAATGAAGAGAGAAAAAAAGATATTCTTTCAGATTTTCAAGAGTTGTTGTAAGATTATATTATACATATACTGTACCTGAAAAGAATCAAGCGGGTTTGCTTTGTTGCTAAACTAATCTACTCTAGAAATATCTTCTCTCTGTTTCAGGGGAATTCCTCTATGGCTGGGCTTGGCATAGTGAAAGCATGAAGAAGTTCAGTCAGGCCATCGAAGAAAGCGGAAGCAACTTGGAGTCCTTACTGCATGTAGCACTACACCATTGGTCCCTTTGCTGCAGTCCTGACACAGTGTCAGCCCTTCATCTAGGCACAATATTTTACTGTCTGTCCACATTAGCGGGTGAGAAATACCATTCATGTAGTCTCTGGTTGGAAAATTTTGTTTGTTTCATAGAAGCTGTTTGCATTTGAGGTTTTATATGATTATATGATTCTCTTCCATTGTGGATGTATTTTTTTGCTTTTGTAGTATTTTAGAAGAGTTCTACTAAATTATTATGTGATAGGATTAAATGTATATTATGAGATAATTTCATATAGAAAAATAGTCTACATCTACACACACCTTAATATGGTATTAAAGGTGTTCTCATATTGCTTTGCCAGATCTTAAACATGTCTTTCTTCCAGGAGAAAAGGTGCTATGCGATATTAGCCAGCTGAGTCCTTGGTGGAGCTCAGTAAGGGATAAGTTAGTGGCCTCCACCCAGCCTTACCAAGCCTACATTGCGTCACTCTTGTGCCGAGGCGTTCATGCCAACCTGGAAGCTCGGTTGCATTCCACTGTGACAGAAAATGCCTTGCACTTCAAAAAGGACATTATCCAGACCAATGCCGAGGATGACACAGACCATAAATACTTATCTCTGAACGACTGGGAAGGACTTTCGATGGAGATGGTCGAATGGAATCTGGTGATTGGCCAGTTAGAGTGTCTTCTTCCTCTGAATCAGTTCTTGTCACTCGTACCAGAGAACGGGCCTCAGAGACAACCCAAGCTTGAGGTGTCAGTAAAGGACCTTCTTGATAAAGGGAAAGGTATTCATCAATTTACTCTGTGTCTGTAGTTCTTAATCTTTATTAGTACTATTACTAAACCGTATCTTGCGTCATGAAGCATAGGCAGGCATTATATATCAACATTGCAATCAAATTTCTTGAATGTCCAAATATACATGTGATGAATTTAAGATTTGTTATGGAAAGATAGGAAAGTAGTCTAATAATTTGTTTTTATTTCATGAAGCACAGGCAGGCATTATATATCAACATTGCAATCAAATTTCTTGAAAACAATTTTGGGTCTCAATCTTTGGCTAAGAAAGGTTACCATACATATAGAAATTTAAAACCTTTTCTTTAATATTATTATTAGTCAGTTAAACAAAACTAATTAAAAATGTTATTTTCCCAAGATGTAGGAAAATGAGAACAAAAAATTGTGATGCAAAATTGCTTTTCTATTGGGTTAAGATGCATAGTTTAGGATAGATAGGTTCTAATTAGAATAAGCTGTGATATGAAATATGTTTTAGGTAGAAAGGTAGTCTGTTTCAGATTATAACATCTTCATTTTTATTTCAGGATATGTTGCCGAGCTTGTTGCGAACTGGTTCATTGGCTCCGGCATGGATCATGAGTGTGTGGTGCAACTTGTGCGAAAGCAGGACGAGCTCAGGAGACTGGAGAAGGAGGAGTTGGAGAAAATGGACGATGATTCAGAGCAGACGGATCAAATGGAGGTCACCTCTGATTCTGTTCCAAATGACCTGAAGCAAGTTGATGGGAAAATAGCTGGTAAGTAAGAGAGAGACAGTGAGAATGGGAGTGAGGGTGAGGTAAGCGTGAGGGTGAGAGTGAGAGTAGGAGGGGGAGTGGGAGTGAGAATGAGAGTGAGAGTGAAAGAGAAGGAGGAAGTAAGGAAAGAATGATAGAGAGGGAAATAGAAAAGGAGTGAGAGTGAGTGCAAATTTGGGAAGGAAGTTGAATGCAAGGGTTGAAGAGGGAGTAAAAGTCATTGTGTGTGCTCTTGCTTCAGATCAACCAGATCTTAGCAGAACTCCTTATTTAGAAATGAATTTAACCCATTGTTGCCGAGTAATCACACTGTTTGCTTGTTTTTTGTGAATTTTGTTTGCGCATTCGTGGCTCCAGAAGTCTATAGACACCCATGGAACCTATTAGTATGCCTACATGACCTCATCTCATTTTCCCTTTCTCTGGGTTTTCGAAAAAAAAAAATCTGATAACATTGATATTGATGTTGTTATTGTTGTTGTCAATATTAATAGCTGTGAGAAATCATGGAAAAGGGTAAACATGTGAGATAGATAGGAGTAGTAATAGATTTCTGAATGATTAAGCACTTGCAACTAATGGAACCAAGACAGTTGATTTTACGAAACAGAAAAGCACAGCGGATATTGCATGTACCTTTGCCATCCTGCCATTACTGCATTAAACATCCATCCTCATCCTTCACCTACTTCTTTCTCCTTCTCCTCTTCCACCTTCACACTTCATGTTCCAGACCATTCCTCCCCGTCCCTCCATTCCTCCTCCTTCTCCCCAACCACCACCATCCACCATTTGCAGAAAAGACTAATAAATCTATTTACAGTTACATTACAAAGTCTCTTTTTTCAGAATTTTTAAAGAATGTTAGCAAGAAATTCCCAAATTCCGTGGCAGCAGATTCAGTTCTAACGAACATGAGCTGGGAGTTAGTGGCAGCGTGGAACAAAGCGAGGGATGACACCAATTTGATCTCGCAGGCTGTGAAGCTTGTTGGAAGTATAAGGAATTCACATATTAGACATGGTAAAAAAAAATTGGCTATTGGGATGCAGGTGTAGTTGTCATTTTTTAAAGGTATCATTTTTAGTGAATACTAGGTGACAAAGAGTTTATATGCAAGTAGATAGCTTTTCTTTTAATACCTTTTATATTGATAAGTGGAGTGGTAACCGTTCTTAAGCTATAGGCATTGCTGTGTGATATATGAAAATATTTACCATTTAGAGGAGACTAGAGCTACTTTTGATAATTTTGGGAGTTATTATTATTGCTTACTAATTTTATTATTATCCTTTTTTACCATGTTCTGTTAGTCTGCTTCTGCTAATCCTCCCTCAAAAACAATCTCTCAGGTGTTTCACTGATGCTGTGGGAAACATGGGTGAGCCAGTTTGTCCAGTTAACGACAAGTCTGATGGACAAAGTCGGGAGGATACCCAAAGACCGACTGTGCCGAAGGGACCTTGGCCTCGGGGAACACAACCTTGCTCCAGTGCTACAGGCAGTCCTCACCCTCCTTGAACAAATTATGGAAGTAAGTGTGTCGAAGGAGTGCAGAAAGTTTTCCTCTATATATTGAAATGATTATCATTTACAGTGGGATGGGAATGCAGAGAAAAGTGCACAGGAATTGGTTTAAACTTTGTGTGTGTGTAGGCGATATTACTTTCTTCTACCAAATGTTTCTCAAAATGGCAATCACAGATTTTGTCTAGACCCATCTTACCATGTATTTATGATATTGAACACATCCAGTAATTTTTATCTTTGTCCTCAACAGGCTAATGTAGTTTGTGAGGTGGAGAAGCCATTGGTCATTCCAGCAGATAGTTTCTGGAGTGGACAGGAAGGGTCGCCAGCCTTGGTAGAGCTCACAGTGATGCAGAAGATGACCTGTTATGACCTTGTGTACCAGCATTACCAGCTTGTCTCTGTCCTCTATCTAGTCACGCAACATGGGTTGAAGTCCGTGAGGCCACTGACCTATTTTGATGGCAAGGTAATGTGTTAAAGGGGTTCCTTTTGCCACATACTTATGTTGATTGTGAAGTATGTAATAAGGGATTTTCTTTTACCACTTACTCATTTTCATGGTAAATTTTGTGTTGGAGGTTGACTTTTTGCCAACTACATATTATAATGATAAAATTTGTGGTATCATATTATGTTTTTAGTTATTGATGCCTATTGAAATTCATTATGTAAAATTTCCTTTCTTAATTCATGATATTTTGTAACACATATTGACAGACTCTTAACAGTAAGACTGATAAAAAGTATTGAATGCCTTTTTCTGTATGTTGTTTCAAAAACTCATTTTATCTTTTTGGTGTTTACATTTTCCTTGTTTTTGCACATAGGACCGTAGCGTCTTGTTCAAGCCTCTGACAACCAGTTGGACTATCGGAGGCCACACAGACCCAACTGTTATAAAGGCTCGCTTAGCTCTCTTATGCAGAGTAATCACAGCCGCAGTTTCCTCACTTCCAGACACTACAGAATATAACCAGGTATATTACAAATTAGTAGTTAGCATGCATTATTATGTAGATGTTTGTGATTAAATAGAACTCTTCAATGATTTAGGAAAGATTTTCCTTTAATAAATGTTCACATGTATTAGATTCTATACTCATGATGTTTTATGCGAATTTCCTTCTTTTTTTCAGGGAGATTCACTGAGTATTCGCCAGGCAATAGACCTGGGTAGAGCATGGGGAACTTCACTAGATGTGTTACACCGTCATCATATATGCGAACTGTACACTTCTGGGCTTGATAAATTGGCAGAAGAGGTGTGGTTTATTGTTTTCTTAACTTTATAGGATTTTTTGTTTTTTATATATTGAATATAAATACTTTTGATAGTATTGTCTAAAACACCTGTGAAATGTGTCACTCTACGTATTTGTCTGTATGCATGATTTTTAATGTCTTTTCTTCCAATATTGACCAGAATTTCCTTTTCATTTAGTTACATTAGGATCAAGGGGTATTTTTGTTCTGCATGGATGGTATGAGGAGCAATCCAACTTTAAGTATCTTGTTAACTTGCTCTTGCTTAATGTCTTATTGGTTTGTTTTTTAGGAGCTGCCAACCATTAGTGATGCTACGTTGTTGGGGTCGCAGCTGGTCCTTATTGCCGGGCAGAGGCTGAACTACCAGCTGGAAAACTCTCCGAGGACCGCACACCATCTGGCTCTAACCTCCCCTACTATTACTGAGTGGATTAAGTCCTGTGTGAGTATCAGCTAAGTATAAAGGGTCATTGCGTTATTTGGTTCGATTGGGAAGGTATTAAGGGTCATGATGATTCTTGTCCCTTGGTAAGTTACCTTTTGTAATGAAATAAAGCAGTGGAAGTAAATTGTGAATTGTTGTGTAAACCTCAGTTGATTTAGAGGGTAATAGGTCATTAATGTGTTATATATCTGTGTGTGTGTGTGTGTGTGTGTGTGTGTGTGTGTGTGTGTGTGTGTGTGTGTGTGTGTGTGTGTGTGTGTGTGTGTGTGTGTGTATGTGTTTTTTGCCAATTGCTTTGTTCTCTATTTCCTTGTTTTCTATTTTCTCATCAGGATGCCGGAAGTCTTCGTTGCCCAGCCGCTCCCCTAGAAAGTACAGTGACGTTATTAACACACGCTCTCAGTCTGTTGCCAGAAGATGCACAGGAGCACAAAATGGCAACAGCCCTCTACGATACTCTCACGGCATTTGTAAAGGACCAGAGTAATGCCGACAAGTAACCGAGCAGCGTTAGTTCCTTGTTCGGCAGTTTGGAATGTCTTTCACCCACCATCTATATCCATTACAATATCCGCTTATATAGATAATTCATTAGTCATATAGTACTGTAATCGCAATTGCTGTATTATATTCATTCATCTTTTTTTATTCTTAAAGTCATCCTCATTATCATAATTATGTTAGCATTTATGTTTTATTACTATTTATTAACATATTGACATATGTATTTATATTCAGTTTGTATGCAATATTTTTCACCCATAGGGAGCAAGGGTATAAAATTCAGTTCTTACTATGCTTTAAGCTCTGTGTCACGGACTACATGAATATATATATATTTTAAGAAGAAGAAAACAATTGTGCTTCATTTTTATAATTTGTCATATTCAAATTCATATTGTGAAAATTGTAGAGACTGTCTTGTGTAAAAGTCACTCTGTTCATTGTCAGTACATCTTATTCACCCAAAGGAACATAGTGTGAATGTAATTTAAGCTTTAATTGGTTTGTTATGAAATCTGACAATAAAAATGTTTCTAGTTTCATCATGACAATGTTATTTCAAGTCTATTCTTGTTATGGTTGAAATGTTGTTCATTGTTTTCAGAATATAAAAGTAATAAAAAGTAATAGAAGTATGATTTTAATATTTGATATTCAATAAAATAAATCCTTGCTAGAGTCTATGAGTTGTTTTATTAATGAGAAATAAAGAATAGAAAAAAAAGAATTTAAAAAAA